TGCAATGTACTTGATTGACCGAATAGGACATTAAAAAGGCAACCAAAATATTACCAAGTTGACTTCTTAAAAAAAATCATATAAGAACATAAACAAGAAGATGTACGCTGTAACCTCCAAATCGATGACTAGTACTTGCCAATATTATCTTATCTGGGAAACTGAGGAAACGTTGCTCTGTTGTGATGCTACCTGGTTTTAGAAGTAGATTATACGACAAAAAGGAATAATTATCCAGTATTCTATACTATATGTACTTAACTCTTAATCATAACCAAACAATCTACTATAAGTACAGGTAAGTGTGTACATTGGTTTTGTTTTTATCAAAACATCCAATATAAGTAATGCAAAAATAATAATTAAACATGGCTTTCCTGTATTCCTTCATAGCAAATACAAACAAGCGATTGGGATATTTTGATTGAGTGTGTATTCGCCAGTCGGGTGATTGCATTTTACTAGGGGACGCTTGGTAGACATTCCATAAGTTTGACGGTTCCATTCACGAATTGGTTGACCGATACGATGTGCCAAACTCAAATCACTAGCGACATGTTTGTGCGGTCTTAGATCTTAGATCTTTAGATCCCAGTCATCTAATTTGTAAATTTAACCATTGTTTAAAATTCCCATGATATATATATAAATATTGTGACTAAGTATGATTTCGCATGGCCAGTAAAGCATACATTACAGGAGACGCTTAATCTGTCGAATCACCCTTTTTGGGTTCGTTTATTTCCCTCAGTTTTTGTTTTTATCTTGATTTGTATCTCTTTGATGGATTTATGACATTTGAAGATCGGTAAACTACTATTTGTGCTTATTCACAACATTTCACCAAGTAGCATATTAAAATACCTCTGATTTGTTCGGTTTGTTACAAGTATTGAGAAATATGACGGCTTGGTTTGGTGTAGACTGTATCTTAATTCTAAAAAGTTGGGTGCATTTTCGATTATAAGTATGGATGTGTATTTATAAAATACATTTTGATCGAAAAACTTAACAGATTTTTGGCACACAACTTTCTATATTAACTACAAATGTTGCCTTCATTAGTAAAATTCGCGAACATGCATATAGAAAAAAAACCCATAAAAACCCCGCCACATTCTATATGTGCCTGTCCCAAGCCAGGAGCCTGTTATTGAGTGGTTGTCGTTTTTTGCTGTTTCTCATAATTGTTTTTTGTTTATTGTTTAGAATAGTTTGTTCTTAGGTTTTGCCGTTACACCCCTGTCCCTGTTAAAGGGGAGGGTTTGGTGCCAACAAACTGTTTTAACCCTGCCATATTCAGTATGTGCCTGTCCAAAGTCAGGAGCATATTATTCAGTGGTTGTCAGTTGTTGCTGTGTTACATACTTGTTTTTCGTTCATTATTTTCTACATAAATCAGGCCGTTAGTTTTCTCGTTTGAATTGTTTTACATTTGTCATTTCGGGGCCTTTAATAGCTGACTATGCTGTATGGGCTTGGCTTATTGTTGCCTATAGTTAATTTCTGTGTCAATTGGTCTCTTGTGGAGATTTGTCTCATTGGCAATCATACCATATAAAGATATAAGGAGATGTGGTATGAGTGCCAATGAGACAACTCTCCATCCAAGTAAAAATTTATAAAAGTAAACCATTATAGGTCAAAGTACGGTCTTCAACACGACGCCTTGGCTCACACCGAACAGAAAGCTATAAAGGGCCCCAAAAATTACTAGTGTAAAACCATTCAAACCGGAAAACCAACGGTCTAATCTATATAAAAAACGAGAAACGAGAAACACTTATGAACCACATCAACAAACGACAACTACTGAACATCAGATTCCTGACTAAGGACAGGTGCAAACAATTGCAGCGGGTTTAAACATGTCTTCTTTCTATATTTACAGGTATTACTAAAACAGTCAATATTGGATACTTTCCATGAAAAACTTTACACGAAAGTTTTGATATGATTACATAATTATTGCACTAGAAATTATCATTTCAATAGAACATGTTCCAAATAAACTCATCATAGATGCCAGGAATGAAATATTGTATTTGCGACAGAAGACGCGTGTTTCGTCTACAAAAGACTCATCAGTGACGCTTGAATTAAATAAAGGTTAAAAAGGCCAAATAAAGTACGAAGTTGGAGAGCATTGAGGACCAAAAAATCCTAAACGTTTTGCCAAATACAGCTAAGGTAATATATTCCTGAAGTAGACTGACAGTCTATCATCTTTATAGTTCTTCAGTAGTGTACCTTGCAAATGATTTGTACCGAACAGATAGTCCATCAGCAACAGCACCGACCCAATGATTTACCGAATTAAATGGCCACCAGAAGTGGTACTGACCCATTGTATACCGATCTGAATATCCAGATGCAATGATACTGAACAATGTTAGATTGATCATACATCGATTATAGCGATTACTACATGTTGTTCTGAAATGATTTTCATCAGTTGCAGTAGAGATTAAAACTTTAGACAGCAATTCATTAAAAAATCAATTTCAAGATTTAAAAAACCAAATTGACCTTTACAGATAAATAAAGGCAACAGTAGTATACCGCTGTTCGAAATTCATAAATCGATTGAGAAAAAAACAAATCCGGGTTACAAACTAAAACTGAGGGAAACACATCAAATATAAGAGGAGAACTACTACACAACAGAAACACAACATTAAAATGTAACACACACAGAAACGAACTATAATATAACAATGGCCATTTTCCTGACTTGGTACAGGACATTTTAAGAAAAAAAGTGGTGGGTTGAACCTGGTTTTGTGGCTAGCCAAACCTCCCGCTTTTATGGCAATGTTAAATATAACATGAAAATGACAACATTACATGGCAGGACTACAATACAAATAAATGGGAGAACATATAGGACAGAGAAACATACGAATAATATGCTAACAAAAGTTACCAGGTTTAAAATTTAATAGGCAAGACGCGCGTTTCGTCCACACAAGACTAACCAGTGACGCTCAGATCAAAACAGTTCGAAAGCCAAAACAAGTTCAAAGTTGGAGAACATTGAGGACCAAAAGTTCCAAAAAATTGTGCCAAATACGGTATAAGTATATATGTCTGGGATAAGAAAATCCTTCGTATTTAGAATAATTCATACTTTTGCAAACAGTAAATTATGAAAATGACTATATAATAGATATACATGATAACACCGATGTGGTGACCTACTACAGAATAAAAACGGATACATAAAACAACATAAACCAGCACATAAAAATTCACAGCCGAGTTAGCCAAAGAGATCAACGCAAAAAAAAATGACGTCACATTTGAATTTCTGAAATGTCCCCAAAATAGGATAGAATTAGGATATAATTCAAGTTTAGGTTTGTAATACTCATATAACATTTATTGGAAACAATGAAAATTACAATACTAATTAATATAAAACTGTGGTAGTAATTAGATAATTAATTGTATTATCTAGCTATGTCGATGTTTCTTCTAATCAAACTGTAAACCAAATATATCGTATAAATTTAGTTGACCCAAACTAAAATCTAATAAATGAACTGGGTGATTAATTATCTTTACCATAACACACGAATACAACAGAAAATAATAAGATTTACAACTACAAACGATAAGACATTCGACAAAATCCGATGAGAATAACAAATATAACATCAAAACTAAATCATGAATTTTGGATAGAAAAGTACCGGTTTAATGTTATCTTTGGCGTATAGAGTTGAAGCGATACTTAGAATACAATTGCATATTAAATAAATTAATTTCTAGACAAAATGAATATGTATCAATCAGTAATATCAGTAGTTAAAACATTAAGTACCGATTGTATGGTATAATTGGGTAAAAGTAGTCCACCAGGAATAGTTCTGAATAAGTGGTAGAAATTTTATGAACTGCAAATGTTCAGATAAAATGCATCATTTCAATGATTGATAGTATATAGGAGAATTATGAGCATGGCAGATGGTATCCCCATGGAGCGAAATAACAAACTTAGTGGAAGCATGTTAAGCTGCAGGAATGGTAGTACTAGTCAAGTATATGTATCAAGTGTATAGTAAATGGTTGTTTCAGAGAAGGATAGCATCAACCTGGTGGTAGTTTGATTGAATTTCCATCACCATTTCCCCAAAAATTAAAGGCTTGCCAACAATTTTGAAGTTGAAAGGAAGAGATGAAAAAACGGTAGGAACCAAACAAAGCAAGAAACCCCATTTAGTGTCAATTTTGCAAGATGGATTATTATGTTTGAAATTCGTCCTTTGAAAAATTGATTCATCACTTTATGTCGATTGTTAAGCCATATTTCTTTATATGTGTAAATTGATAATGATTAATCGAACAACGAGAAACCGCTTCGATCTTATTATTACTAAGAATATTGGACTAAGGACTTTGTACCCCAGGAATGGGTTATTAGGCAGAACATTACGGACATTTGGGTCCTCAACGCTCTTCAACTTCGTACCTTATTGGGTCTTTTTGACCTTAACTTCGAGCGTCATCGATAAGTCTTTTTTAGACAAACAGCGAGTCTGGTGAAGAAAATTTAAATCCTTGTAGGCATAATGAGTTTAATAAATTAATTAATAAAGCTGACTTAATGTAAATGATAAACGCAATATTCATAACAATGTACGGTATATGAACCACGTAAATGTTTGTTATTTTTCTTAACCTTTTGCGTATTTCTTCAAACGGAAAACAATGCAAGTCAAAAATATGGAGGCGAACAAACGTCATAAACGTGATGGTCATCGGCTGGTAATTCCCTTTTTAAACATAGCCAGATTATCAAATGTACAGGCATTGGTCACTTATCATCATTCAATAAACATTCGAATTATTACATACGAATCATCCGTATGTTGCGAAGAGATTAAAGAATGTGTTATCTAAATGTAAACTTACTAATCCTAGTGTATTCATTGTAATAATCGTCACTTCTCCTATAAATATGAAAGCACATGTAAAATTGTATACAAACAAAAGCACGTGGAGAAACAACTTCAAAATAGGTAAGAAATATTAGTTTATTTTCGCCGTAGCTAAATGTATAGACATATACATTTTTTTGTCATAATACTTGGTGACTTTATATATGATATAAATGTTTTGATGTAAATTCTTAAGATTTTGCCAGCATCAATCACATGAAAATGTTATATTTGAGTGGTATGTTTTGGTTGTGAAATTGAATGTAATTGCGTTATTTGGAAAATTGGTATTGCTTGGAGACGTTTATTGTCTCTGTTAAATTCATTCACATTATTTATTTAGACTCATTGATATATATTTATATATTGTATAGACACCTATATAATGTTGAGGAGGTAGAATTTTCCATCTTCTAAACAAGTACTGCTAAATTCTCAATTGTTGAAACATCAAATATTGATATTTTACTTTACATGTATATACATTAATTATTCAATTAACAATTCTTTATAACACGTTATTTGTAATTCATAGGAAAATAATATGTTGACACAGATTATTATATTATGTATATTTATTGCTGTGGTCTACGGGCACGGCAGACTTATATCCCCTCCTGGTAGATCCACAATGTGGCGCTATGGGTACAACACACCTAAGAATTACAACGATAACCAGTTATCTTGTGGAGGATTCTATGTAAGTCTTCATTCACTAATAGCTTATAGTTTTAACTAAGAAATAAATCAAGGTTTCAAGTAGAATTAATGAAAATATAATGGTGTCTTGTGTGACTTGATCGTAGAGACTCAGAACTGTCATTTACATTACAAGAAGATAACAAATGTGCATCTTTTATACTAAAATATCTGTTGTATTTACTTACTGATAAATGTTTAAAATATTCATACTTATATTATGTATTTTTGGTTCGCATCACGGTGCAAATTAGTTTCATGCGATATTCACGTTATCTGGACTTAACAAATATCGGCTCTGAGAGATTGCCTCATGATTTGGCTAAAGTTCCTTTTATTAGAATCAAATATTGAATCGGGTACATGTTCAGGACGGGAGAAGATATCAAATACGTAAATTAATGAAACAGTATGGATATTCCAGACCCGATAAACAATGAAAGCTTCATGTTCACGTAGTTTGTGAATCTAATACTGTGCATAACTCATTAACTTTTGAGAAAGATTAAACTTGCATGTATTATATTTTTCAGAAACAATGGACACTTAATGGAGGAAAATGTGGAGTGTGTGGTGACTCATGGAACGAGGCTCGTGATAACGAGGCTGGAGGAAAATATGCAACAGGAACCATCGTTAGTCAATTTAAGACAGGACAAAGCATTCAGGTTAAAGTTCAGATAACTGCTACTCATCGTGGATACTTTGAGTTCCGTCTTTGTCCGGTTAACAATCCACATCAGCCAGCCACTCAAACCTGTTTAGATAGAAACGTACTAAAACAACTTAATGGTCAGTCCAAGTTCTATGAACCAGGAGCAATCGGAACATATACAATTGATCTCGTTCTTCCTCAAGGTTTAACATGTTCACAGTGTGTATTACAATGGAAATGGAATACAGGTAAGAAAACTTTACCTTATTTCTAACCTTTTAATTCTCATGAAAAATAGTTTTGAAAGATGCAAGTTCGATTTCCGGTGAAGATATTTATTTTATCTCCTCAAAATTCTCTCGCGAAAATTAAAATAAATTTCATATTGGTCTTGCTTTCTTGTGTCATCAGTATTATTTCATAAGTATTAATTCAAAGTACATTTGAAGCATTTTTTATGCAACCTTTTTCATTAAAAGAGGGACGAAAGATACCAGAGGGACAGTCAAACTCATAGATCGAAATCAAACTGACAACGTCATGGTCAAAAATAAAAAGACAAACAGACAAATAGTAGTACAGATGACACAACATAGAAAACTAAAGACTAAGCAACACGAACCCCACCAAAAACTGGGGGTGATCTCAGGTGCTCCGGAAGGGTAAGCAGATCCTGCTCCCACTAGTAGCACGATTTCAGTCTGAAACGGTCATTTTGGTCTGATCATATCTTAATCGACTGGATTTACCGCTAGAGAAAAACGTCAAGACTTTTAAGAACTTTAAGACGCCGTTCCGATCGATAGTCTCATTAGGTAAATCAGTCCGTTAAGGCATGTTAAGATAAACAAGACTGAATCTTCTAGCAAGCTGTTAAGATCCGTTACGACGGTGTCAGACCAAAACAGACCAAATCTCAAAATTAACGTTCAAAATTGTCAGACCATGTTTAGATCCGTTCAGTATGCCGGTATGATACTACGAGTTACGCCCCTTCTGCTTGATAATGCATTTTAGATTAATATATAGATTTATTAGAATTTAAAGTATATCTCTCGAATAAATAAAAAGTAATTAAAGATTAAATCCTCTGTTGATTCTTTATTTCTGTTGTTGTTTTGTTGAGGAACTAATAAATTATTCGTCTATATATGTTGCTTATTTTTTAATAATTGTTAGTTTATTTATTTATATACTTATTAAATGCAAGGACGTATGTTAATTGTATACTTACAAAAATGTTTGCCATACATTTAACCTAAAAATGTTGTGAACTCTGTGTGAAAATGTTTTTCGTATTTGAAAATTAGTAACGGAAAATCTTAAACGTAACCTAAAAAAATAAGAAGATGTGGTATAATTGCCAATGAGACAATCCACAGAAATAAAGCGGAGGCAAATTAACACATGCGTATTTTTGTTTTATGTCAGTTGGTTTAATTCGTTTTCTGTTGATATGACCTAGTTTACTATTACCGTTGGAGCTGGGTTTTTTTTTTATTTTCGTGCGAGTTACTCTATTAAACTTGGAAAAGCTTTTATAACCATAGCTTTGTACTGTACAATATAATTTTATATTATTAAACAATAATTTATTTTACATAGTGGTGCGTCTAAACACCACCAAGGTCGCCATAGTACATGAAGCTGATCATGATACTGCATTCAGTCTGTGTCGAGACCGTGTTAAACTATAAATAAAGTACCACCGTATAAAGATTTTCATTCAAACAATGTATCCTTATATTTATTTTCTAACCCATATATTATATATATATATATATATATATATAGTACTTAGTGTATGGCGTAAATTTAAAATTTTCCGTTTTAGTTAAAATGATTGAGTTCAATGGCACGGGCAAGTAATCAACCGGGTCAACAGGTAACAAAATCAATGATCCATAACGTAAGAAAGTCTATTTTACAATTACACTCATGATTCTTAATAAAAATGTGCCGTAGGGCTAAAAGTTAATAAAGAATTAATGAATTTATGTATACGTATTAGTATTTAAGTTGTTGATGTTTGACCGTCAGTTTTAATATATGCTATGTTTTATATTCAATAAAATAATGAATCTGAATCTATTATAGCTTAGTATGTGTAGTTTAAGGTTCTTACAATATTATATATTTCTAAACACTATACCAAAAGATAATGCAAAATATTTGAGCGCTGCATGGCAAACCATTATAAAAACATGTACAGTTCGGAAGTTTGTTTAATATTCAAAAGAAACTTTTCGCTTCTCTACTTATATAGTTTAGAGAGTATTCCTTTAAATTGCGTCAGTTATATAAAGTGGTGTGTATTTGTATTCTATTTATTTGGCAAAATTGTATCACTATACATACATTTTGTATTTCACAACTATATATACTATAAGTTGTGAATTGTGATTGATTGTTGGTTGCTTAAAGTCCAGTGGCAAATATTTCATGCATGTTCTGGACGAACTGTGGGTCTATGACATGGGACCCACCAGTGTAGGTTTCATGTGGTATAATATTTAAAAGTAACTTAAATTTAATTAACATGAATTTTGAATAAATCGAAACATAACGGGAGCTAGCTATATATAGACGCATGGATCGCCCGGACCTATCAGTTCTTTTCTCTGTTTTGTCTTAAAAAAATTAATGCTTTTTTTTATATTTCGATTTATTTTGTACTTTTATATGATTTACGATAACTGTGGTTTATACGTGCTGCCAGACGAAAGATCTCTATGTATCCTCTAGATGTCTTTTTTTTTTTGTGGATTGGTTGCTTTGTCATTGACGTTTAACACAAAACTTTTATTAATTAAGTGTGATCTATGTAGAAATTCAAACGTACTTAAGAATGAAGGATGAAAATTCAGGCTTTAAATAAAAATGGTCATTAAATAGCCACACAATTAAAAGAATAAGAAAAATGTAAGTGTTGGAATAACATATACAATATATATGTGCATTGTCGGAAAATATAATTTTTATTTTACGAACTTTGGTAACTGGACAAAAAGAGAGGCGTACCAATCTTTTCTCCTTTTGTGTAGCGAATACAAATGAACTGATCCTAGTTATTTCGTATAGCATTTCTTTTAAATAATAAAATCGCGCGTGCTCTATCTCAAAAAAGATGCTCACAGTGCAGTGTACTACTTTTGAGACAAATTATATCAAATTATCAAAATATCAATCTCTAACTTAATATGTAAACATAATACATGTAACAGCACCCCTTCTAGTCCTTAGTGGCATAGTATACGTCCTTAGTGCATTAAGGACTCCTTAGCAGTGTTTAGACGTACCGAAATTATAGAGCAGTCTAACAGCTCTAACTCAAAATGTGAACCATTCTATGTTGCGGGTTGGGGTCTACAATTTAGTTTGAAAGCTTCAATCATACAAGTGTTTTATCCTTTTAATTTGGACTAAATCACTACTTTACCTTAAATTTCACACACACACACATTTGCGGTACGTCTAAACACCGCTCAGGACCTCCTGAGTGCACTCAGGACATACAAAGTGCACTCAGGACATGAAAAATATGTTTTGGTTAGTGGTGAAGGTATGCATTCGATAGATAATTTAATTCTTCATCTTATAATTTTTGTTTTGATAAAATCAATTTAATATTTAAAAAGTTATTAAGGTTTTCATCGGCACGCGCCGTTTTTATGAAATATGTCAGGCATGACCGATGATTATAGTGAATACCAATTATCATGTTGATTAGGTCGTTTGATCTTTAATAATTAGGAGTGATTAGTGATGGTACTTACCTCACATTCGTGAAAAGGGAAGGGTATTGAAGTTACGACATAAGGAACATATCCGATATCATCTGTGAAACGGTTATTCCATAACGGTCAACCAATGACATGTTTATGGCCCAATTAACACCTTTAATGATCAGTAATCTGTTGATCAGTCGATCTCGAGTTGATTAGTGACACCACTTCGGATTACACGTGTGCAACAATTAAAATGTTTACTTTGCAATTTCCTCCAATTAAACAATTTGTATTCAGAGATGAATCAGCTTATTTCTGAAGGTAATTATTTTATTAAAAACAATGATGAATGTTGTTAGAAATGAAAGACGAACATGTAAGTGAAAATAAATATCATATGAATATTTTCAACAATCTTCGTTTCTGATGGATTCAAATTCTTCACCCGATTTTTTTTCTTCTGAAAACTAAAATCCACGAATTTAAGAACCCACGAACATGTAACTTTTGCTCAATCCACGAAAATTGATACCCACAAATAAAAGTACTTTCACAGTAATAGATAATAATTATCGGATGTATATATTTGATTTATTTATAACACCAGAAACTAATAACGTACCTATCTCTATCAAATACAATAAGTTTGGATATGCGTTCTGAACAGTTAAATGTTAACTATGCTTGCTTTTTTTTAACTGATATTCTTTCTATTCTTTCAGGGAACTCATACAATTGTGATAATAACCATAACTGCTGTATTGGCTGCGGACCACAAGAACAGTTTTATGGCTGTTCAGATATAGCTATTTCATCGTCTGATTCAAGGCAGTTTTCTAATACTGGTGTTCAACAAGAACGCCCACTTGGTTTCTTACTAATTTCAGGACAAACTGTTGGTACATGCCAAGCAACACCACTTTTCAAAAGTCGATATCCGTATGCAGACAGATATTGTGTATTACAATGCAACCAGAATAAATGTCCACCAAGTACATACTGCACTGATGATTGTAGAATCCACTGAATGTGGACGCATTTTACAAAATATATACTCATTTACTAACATTTTATTTGATACAAACTTTATTTTTGTTTACAATGTTTTTATAAATGTATTTATTGCTATTGCATAATTATCTTTTTTTATAAATAGAATCGTTTATTGATAGATTTGTTGTTATTTCAAAGACAAAAAACTAAGTTATCGTCTGCAAAGGCGGTAAAGGGCTATACATTTGACAAAAGAGATGGATAGATAGATATTTTATTCTCTAAAAGGTACAATTTACATAGTCAAACACTGTATCAAGATAAAATATAATACTCTAAGAACAATTTGCAACACTTCCATTGCGACCAATAAGGGTAAATAAGACTGCCCATATATTTGTAGAAAATGCTCAAAATGGTCTTAAAGTAACAGCATGTCTGTGTGAATTGTTTAAAGATTTGATTAAAGAAGAAAACTAAATAATTATGACACAAAATTGAGGATGAAAATTGCCTCTCCCAATATATTTTTTTTTGCGAGGAAATTTTAGTTTCTGTTCATTTGTAATTAATCATACAATCACCTCTTTGTCAATTTTGTGCATTGCATACATGTTGAACTTGATCATGTGCAAAATTTGTTGACATTGTGAATTTCAATAGTAACTTCTTCTCTCAAAGTTAATTTGTAAACAGTTTAGATAGCCGAAATTTGACCATAATAACTATTTTACTTTTGAATTCACACATGATAGAAGAATAAGAATACACTTTAAATTTAAATCAATATTTAGTTTTTATTTATATTCAGTCAAAAGTTGTGTTGCTAAAGTTGTTTTGAGTGGTATATAATAGAATTGTAGGTTTACTTCCTTTTGTTACAGATGATCAACAAGGTTTCTAATTTACAAGCCATCGGTGTTGAAGTGTTTTACGACCTTAAATTAAGACGAGGAGGACATGCTTAATAAGACTTACAAACGCTGGTTACCCCGATCTAACAGAAGCATGAGTGAAAATCCCACTCAGGTTTCAATAAATTTTGCAGTAAGAACTAACTTTGTTTGTTTAAATTTCATATATATGAAATTACCGGTATAACCCCTATTTGATATTTGAATGAGAATGTAAGTAGTAGATTTGTCAGATCTTTACACGTATTTACCAACTTTTGGGAATTTTGGGTCCTCAATGCTCTTCAACTTTGTACTTGTTTGGCTTTCTAACTATTTTGATCTGAGCGTCACTGATGAGTCTTATGTAGACAAAACGCGCGTCAGGCGTATCAAATTATAAGCCCGGTACCTTTGATAACTATTATGTATTTGATACCATCAAAAGCCATACATGTATGTATGAAAATAATTCGGATAATCTTCACGAATGCATCACCACTCAAGTACTGTCGTCTATACTGACAGTTTACTAAACTAGATTAGTTTTGGTAAGAACAAGATAATGAAACATAAATCAACTTACTTATCAAATAATAAAGTGGGTGGAATTTGATATAGCTTGTCCGATAAAAAGCTCTGTATCCAAACTGTATTTGCTTAAATCAGTTATCAAATTAGTAAAAAGGAAATCGTTTTATCTCATTTGTGTCCAAACAAGGTTACAAATAAATAGTACAGAGATGGAGAAGGTCAAAGCTCTTTAACCCAAATGTGGTATCTTATTATTACGGATTTAAATACAGTGTCAAGAATACTAGAAATCGTCTAGCTGTATCATGTTCAGTCTTTGAACTTCATGAGTTATGTCAAAAGATCGAACAAGAAAGGCATGATTTCAGGTTTTTTTTATAGTAATGAATATATTTAAAGGTGCAATTGAATATAAAAAAATAAGGAGATGTGGTATGTTACCAATGAGACATCTAACCCCCTCAGAAATGACGTGCATGTAAGCAAAACCATTCAATAACGCCCTTTTTGTTAAGTTAGATGTAGCAGGCCCCGACATAATTAAAGGTTAAACCATGCAATTAGAAATCCTACTGCCTGATTGATCGATGATAAAACAATCAATGAAAAACATAGACGACAGAGAGGAACCAACGATAACTAATGCCAAAAACTAAATCACAAGCTCCTGGCTTTGGCTTTTGGTAAAGCGTCTATAGAATCCTTTAACCACGTCTTACCTAATAGTGTTCTCCTTACTAGCCTCAACTACGACAAAATAAAAAATAAAAAAGACATGTGCAAAAATATTAGAAGAGTCCATGTCAAATTCAAATCCATTCAAACTGTCAGACAATTAATTATTAAACTTTTATCATTTTTCTATGTTGTCTTAAGAAGGACATATAAAGAGAAACTGTCACAACAGGCCAGTTCATATTTTCAATGTGAATTACCAGTACTTAGTCGTTAATATTTGGTTGACTGTAAGAAAATGGTTATTTTGGCAACTTTGTTTTCATGTCAGTTTTCCTTCATTTGGACATTAATATCAATTTGGCATGTTTTGGCAGATGAGCAATTTAGTCCTTATTTGTAAAATTACCCATTCTTCTAAGCTAAACATAATTTTTACCTCTTACGATCACGTCTGAAAATACAATTGTATATATACATTTTGAAATTGTCTTGATGCTTTTGTTGGATGCGACTCTAAATTAGAAAAAAACTCAATATATTGATGTCATTGGTATTTCATCCCGTTTAAATGAAAAGCAAGATTCATCAGAGAGGTATAGAACAGTCACAAGCAATTTTTAAACTAAGATTTTTATTCATATCAAATATATTTTTAGAAAAATATTTAAGCCAAAAAATGTAAAGCACAAATGAATGTTCATAGCAGCACAAGTTGATTGTCTATGGTCTATTTTTTTCGCATATTGTCTTCCGTCATTTTGTTTGGCAGATTATTCGTCTCGTTTGAGGCAAACATCACCTAAATATATAAAAAAAATCAATAATTATGCCTTTCATATCTAACAAAACGTTTTAATTATGTTCTGATTGATCATTACTATACTCAGACCTGAAAGTAAAATTTTAATTGATAAGAGTTTTCGGACATAACCTACATTAAATGTTCAACTTTTGATGATATAGATTTTAAACAACGTAAAAAACTGTTATGTTGAGAACTTTAAAACATAGTTCAATTGCCAAGATAAAATATTTACTACGCAAGCTTAAAACAATATCCTAAATTGATCGGAGATAAAACTGTAGTACTTACACCGGTGTCCTAAATTAGGTTATTTTAAGTGTGGTGATATGCAACCGCCATATTCTAAAATAGTTAAGTGTAAACATAGTGGAGATGTAGTTTCCTGCTGTTGTAGTATCAAATAACTCTAGGAGTATGGATGGGAGATTTTATCTAATTGTGGCAGTGACATTTTATATGATAGCCACGTTGGCATTTGCTCAGTTTTGTGATCTACGTGATTTGTTTGTCAATTGCTCAAAGCGTGATTTATCGAACATTCCTCAGAATCTTCCTAAAAATATAACAGAACTTGATTTATCGGAAAATGTCATAACCGAAATAGGAGCCAGAACATTTAACAGATATCGTAAGCTTTTACATTTAAACATTGCAAACAACAAAATAAACTCCTTGAACAGTGATGCTTTTTCGGGCTTAAACGAAATAAAGGTGCTTACCCTAACAGGAAATCGATTAGATCATACAACATATCCGAACAATGTTTTCCGTCCGCTGCAGAACATACAAGAACTTTACTTAAATCGCAACATGAGGAAACCTTCTCCGTTCGAACCATTTTGCAATGATAAACTTTGCAGATATTCCGATAAAGCATTTAGCTGGTTGGTCAATCTGAAAGTTCTGTCAATAGATTTATGTGAAAATCCGGAGTTTAGCGATGGTTTTCTAAATATGAAAAATTTGCAGACACTTACATTTGATTATTGCTTAGTTTGTAAATTAAGTAACAAAACATTTAGCAGCTTTACAAATTCCAACATCAAGGTATTGCACCTTAGTCGATGCGAACTATATAAAATGAGTGAGTCTATTGAAGCTGGAATATTCAATCCGTTTTCAAATGTGACAAGTCTAGATTTATCAAACTCGTACTTTAGTTTGAAGCACGCCCTGAAGCTCCTGTTTCCATTCCGTAATAAGAAAATGGATGTGGTAAATTTCCATCGTGTAAGCCGCGGATCTAGAACCATTCCAGAAAATCCATTTAAAATTGTTATTACAAGTGATATGATGCAATATTTAAAAACTATATGTGTGAAAACTATTATCATGTCATACAATGGAATTGTTGATGTCAGACCTAACTCATTATTTGTTCATGATCACCCAGAGTGCTTAGAAAATATCATAATGTCAGCGAATAGTTTTTCAGTGGAATATAATATCCAATATATGGAGGTACTTAAATTATCAAACGCCGTCAAAAATCTGCGTCTCTTCGATTATTCGTACGTTCCGCTTCAGTTTTCAGACATGAAATTTATTCTCCCGCCAAATTCAATGATCGTAAACAATAATTTCCCGTCACTATATACAGAAACAAAACACCCAACCAATATGACGGTTAAACTGCCACCAAAACTGGAAATTTTACGTTTCAGTTATGTTATGACAGGGTCCAGTCTGTTTAGTTTGATATTAAAAAATACAAAGGCACTGAAATACTTAGATTTATCACATTTTGCCTTCCAAGAATTTCCTGATATTTTTATGCCCGAAGGTAACGTGTTAGAACACGTTGATTTTTCAGGAATAGATTCAAGACTTTATGTAGATAAGGGGGTGATTGAACTAATGCGAGACGTAAAAACTATTCTCTTACGTGACGCAAACTTAGATCTCACATTTAGAGAAGGGAAAAATGTCTTCAAGTATTTTGGAAACAGTACAATTAATATTGATATTTCTTATAATCATCTAGTGACCCTTCCGAAGACATTTGGTGTTATATCAAATTTAGAACACCTCAATTTATCTTTTAACTCATTCCGACATTTTCCGAAGTCTTTGGCATCACTATATAATCTCAAAATAGTAGACTTGAGATTTAATCAGTTGCTCACCTTAAACAAAAAGGTTACACAATGGGCGGACAATGTTTTCAAGAAAACGAATCTATCATTACTGTTAAAAGGAAATGAATTTGCTTGCACTTGTGAAAACCGGGACTTTTTGAAATGGCTAACGCAAACA